AGCTGCCTCACAAACACCCTTGATGAAAAGTTAAGAGCTCCGGTGTTGTTCAGGCAAAGTCCAAAAACATACAGACTATTGAAAAATATGCGTGCCTTGCCAAACAAGAGGACATTGAACAGTGTCCGAAAAACTGTCTCTGGAACCAGGAATCAATACAAAATTTTTTCAATTTATTGAAAATAAAATACAAAATTGGAACACTAAAGAAAAACTCTGCATAATTGTTTTTGACGAAATGGCTTTCACCACATTTGAATTATAATTCAAAAAGTGATAAAATCCTTGGATTTGTGGATTTAGCAGAAAACGGGAAAATGAGGTTTTGTGACCATGCATTGGCTTTCATGCTGAGGTGAGTTTGTTCTTCATGGCGACAGACTGTCGCTTATTATTTCTGTGAAGGAACAATATCAGCTGCTGCATTACAGACAATTTTAAAACAAATATCAAATCTTTAATAATAATAATAATAATAACTTTATTTTCAATAAACGTTTAACAAACTGTGCTCAATTCTAGCGATCCCTACACTAAGCAAAGCTTGGCTTGTAGCGACCAAAAAAAAAGAAAAATATACATTCTTAAGGGTTGACACTATACGTTTTTGCAGTCTTCAAAATATAAAAGATGGTTTGTATACTATTAAGATTATCCGAAAAGCATAAGCATATTTAAAAGGTTAAATACAAAGAAAACGAAACTGCGGGCAATAACAAGTTCACTAATACTGTCGAAAGTTATTTTTAGAAAAAGGAAGCCATGCCAAAATTATTTATTAAATAGGAGAATTAAGAAAAATGTACTACTCACACTCGTTTTACTTTTGATCTCTCCTTTGATGCTAATTTCCTTCTGTAAAGCCAACCATTAGCAATTAACTGTAAACATTGGTATTTTTTTTACAGATGGTACAATCAATGTTGCTGGACATGATCTGAATGTATTTTTTGACCCGCCCCACTTGCTGAAAGGATTAAGGAATAATTTTCTTAATAAAGATAATTATCTGGAAAGGAAAGATAGCCACTTGGAAAGACAGAATTTATTTACGAAAGAAAGTTTTAAATAAATAATACATAATGATAACATTATTAATATATCGATAAAGTCGATAACGATCGACTAGCAAGCACTATTTGACCTTCACCCCGCTGTCAAACTCTGCTGTCATATAAAACGATCGCAGTGCCAAAACTAGTGTTATATGTCAAGTATGTAAACTCCTTATGAGTAATTATGAACGCTCCCTAACAATGGTCTATGCGTTCTTCTCTATGACAACGCCGTGCACGAAACATTGTCTTCATATTCTCTATAGTAAATATAATAAATAACAGTTATCACATACACAGTGAAGTTTGTCTATCAACCAAGACTTCAACAACTAGACAAGGGAAAATTACTCTCTAAAGTCACTGTCACATCTGTAGCTAGCTACATATTGTTAATCTGTGAACCAGATGATGAAAAAATTCGAATGATAAAGTCGATAACGATCGACTAACAAGCACTATTTGACCTTCACCCCGCTGTCCAAATTTTGCTGTCATATAAAACGATCGCAGCGCCAAAACTAGACCAGGAAAACTACTCTCTTAAGTCACTGTCGCATCTGCAGCTAGCAAAATACAAGCCAAAGACTTGATCTCAGAGATGCAGGTTAAGATTAGGCAGCGTCAACATAGTCGTATAGGTGATACCAAGTCAGATTGTGATAATACCTCAAACGTTACGGGAAAATAACGCAAAATGGAACTCTGCAAACTTGATGGCGAGGCTCTTGAAGTGGTACCAATTCTGTTTACATTTATTTTAGTACGTTGTATTGTTGACCCGACAGACCTTGTCCTGTCTAATTTTAAATATTGAATTCGAATTGGCATATTGGTATTGGAGCATTTTTCAAATCTTTTGACCATCGCCATAACATAATGTCCACTGACTTAACAATTATATTATTTAAAATTTATTAATGAAAACATCATGCTTAAAGCGGCAATCGATAGAAAATTTCAACAAAAGTAAATTAAAACAGATTTTTCTTTTAAATACAATCTTAATTTGAAAAAGTAAATAAAAATGTAACTACATTGTACACCAATTTTACGATGTCCCATGCATACCTTCAAACTTTGAAGTGTCATAATCCCGAAATATTCCGATCATACTCATACTAAAATCACTTGGTTTGTGGTAAAACAATATGAAATTACGTTTTTTAATGTCTTTTAATTGGTTGTTATATCAAAATCAGTAAATAAATAAAATTTTATTTTGTCCTAAAATTTTGGATATACCGGAATTCCCAGTTAGTAACTACGATTTTCGTCGACTTTAAAATAATTGATGAACATGATGTAAGGCAAATCCGGCAAAATGACGGCGAAATTGATCTTTTATGATTATAAATTAAAATTCTTATTAAATTAATATTATTATTTAAATTAATTAGTTTAAATCTTGTTGTTACTTGTTGTCACTTTATTAATATTAAAAACTAGTTAATAATTACAAAATAAATAAATAATTATAGTGTAAATTGACGGAAGTATGTTTGGCTTAAAAATCATAATCCGTTTGCTAATTAATTTTATAAAAAAAAAACGAATGGTAATGATGGAGAAGTTTCAGTATTTTATTGCTGAGTGGCTTGCCGAGTAAAAAGGATAAGTATTGATATAATTGTGTTAAGTGGTTTAATCTGTTTAAATTAAAATAAAGTTTAATTATGTTATGTCATTGTTTTTTAGTGTTTGCGAATGAATTCGAATTAAAGACATATTGTTTTGTGCTTTTGATTTGTATCTCATGAAATGCTTTTGACTATTATCAATTAAAAATAAGGATTGAGAGTGTCGTTTTAATATTTAAAGGCTGCGATTTCAATACAAACAAGTTAAATACTGTTTGTGGTTTTAATTATACAAGTCTACCCAACTGTTTTCAACATAATACCAAGTATTCAGATATTTTTTGATGTGGCAATCATTTTCTGACAGCTTTACTTCTATTGGCCATTTCTTTTCCAGCCTAACTATGTTTGGATAAATAGCGTTACTTAGTCTCCAGAACAGTGTGTCGTCAATCACGTGTTCCAATTAGTATAGTGATTTTGAATGATAGATTATTATTGTTTCAACACGAGCGTTGCTTAAACTTTTGCAGTAAGTATCTAAAATTAACTAAAGTTCATTAGAATCATTACTTTTAGTGTATTTTTTATAAAATGTGTGATGTGAAGTCATAAAATGTACTTTCGTAACGTCAGGTGAGTAACGTTATATATAGCCGGAATGGATTTTGTTACTAACTGGAATTATAAGGTCGAGTACTCAGTAAACTTAAAATAAAAATTAAGTATTTCCTAGAATTACTTTTTGACTACTTGTGCTAAAATAGTAAGGTAACTATATAGGTACTTACGAGAAATATTCAAGCTGAAACCTCTTTTTACCGACTTCAAAAAAGGAGGAGGTACTATGTTCGGATGTTTTTTGTGTATGTTCACCGATTTCTCTACCAATAAAATTGTGGATCGATTTTCAAAATTATTTTTTTGTTCGAAAGCATATACTCCTGAGGTGGTCTACAAGTTGTCACACTTCTTGGCTCTTTATTATCAATACTAACGCCCACAAAGGGCACGACAGTCATCAAGTCAAAATCTGATGATAGGATACCAGGATAATCAAGGGAAACCCTCAAATTTTATAGGCACACATTATTTTTCATATACTTTCTAACGCAATTCAGATATTTGTCTCTTATAGTCATCATCTTATGGAGCTGATCTGATGATGGAAGTAAGAGCACCTGAAAGTTTCTATAAAGTTGTCTTAAAAAGTAGAGGTCCGATTTAGATGGGGTTTTCACTGGTCAATTTCTTATGACATTTTATAGATTTGTGCATTCGAAAATAAATTTTGGGTTGCATTGCATTGCAGGTCTTCACCATAACAAACGCAGATAAGCAAGAAATGCATTTTTACAGAGTTGAAAATGGTAGTATTTCTGGACATTGACAAGTTCTTGACTCGCAAAGATTTCAGTCTACTCAAAAGAACTAAGTGGCCATGGAAAAGAACGCACTTCATATTAGCAACAAAATGCCATAACTGCAAAACCTATACTGACACGAACCTCGGAATACCGACTCATTTTGTTATTTTTAGTGACAGACAAATAATTCGTCTTTTAAATCGTAAATTCTTCTGGTGCCAAACCTGTTTATTATTTACCATTTATGACCATTTTCTTGACGACGAATGTGAATATTGTTACAAGTAACAAAGCTACCTATATTTACAAAAATAAAAATGCCACTTACCGGAGCTGAACGAGCTAGGAGATTCAGAGAAAAGCTAAAGGAGGATCCTGAAAAATATGAAACTAGTTGGAAAACAAAGAAAAAAAATTGCTGATTTAGATGATGACGGGAAAATTAAGCAAAGGGCAGTGGAGAAGACAGAAAAAAAATCAGAAAGAAAGAAAAAAAGCATCAATTAATCAAGAAACTATAGCAAAAAACAAAATTAAGAAGAGCAGTAAACTAAATAAAAAGTTGCAAAGGGTAAATTCTAATTACAATAAGGCACAGAAAAAACTTCAAAATTATTCAACAGTCATTGGTCGTCTCAGAAAGCAATTAACCCGCTCTAAACAAAAGCAAAAGATTTGGAAACGGATAATGATTTGTTCCGTTTCTAATAATGGCAGCTATTCAGGATAATGATTTTTTGCTTATAAATAAAAGTACACAAAAACCTCGTTAGACCCCATTTTTCATGAATTAAAAGTGATTCACTTCATTTTAGTTAAATATTGTTCAAGATATTTATGTTTAAGTAAGTATGCTAATAAAACTGAGTCCCTATTTGAGACGTTACAATTTTTAGACTTATGATTTTGTGTACTTTCTTTTTCTTCATGTAGTTTTTATTACATTTTAAATGTATTTTATTTAAGCCATGAGTTTTTCTTTTAAGGCGTCTTTCAAAATGCCACCAATAAACAAAAACGCTACAGAAGAACATCGTCGAGCACAACAACGACTGTGTAAAAAGAGAAAATACTTAGAAATAAAAAATGATCCTGAGTTATTAGCAATTGAACAAGAGAAAAGGCGCAATAAGCATAAGAAAAGAAAGGAAGAAGGTAAAATCAAATCTATAAAGAAACGCACTCCACGAGCTCAACGTGAGCAAAGAAAGAAACGGAAGGAAAATTCCAAAAAGTACGTACTGAGTGTTATCTATCTGTCTATCTATCTAAATGTTTTCTTAGTCATATTCTCTATTTCCATGGATGATAGCGTTTTTGTCTACAATAGGTACAGACAAATGAAAAAACAAGAAGAAACGACGGCGATGCCTCCATTTGAACCAGTTTTAATAGAAGCTGCAGAAGACGATAAAACCGATGGTGTTAAGATAGAGGGACAGATCAAAACAGAGAGACAACATGATCCATTGCATCAAATGTCTCCTGCTATCAAGGCGGTGGTAAGAAGAAGAGGTATGTGTTGCTTAATACTATTAACAAATATAAAAAGACAATAGAAGCCCAAAGAAAAAATATACAAAGATTAAAAAGAAAACTTGAGGTGATATCAAATGAGAACAAACACAGTCAATCAAACATTGCCAAATTAGTAAGACAAACTGCAACTAAATTATCATCTTCATGCATAATATTATCAGGTCACAAATCATACATAGAAAAAGTTCACCAATTTTATAACGAGGATGGTAATAGTTATTTATGTGCTGGTAAAAAGGAGTTTGTGACGAAAAATAAAGTAAAGATGCAGAAACGGTATCTGAATGCTCCACTAAAGATTCTTTATCAAAAATTGATATATCCTAAGTTGGTATTAAAATAAGTTACTCGACCTTTTGTAAACTACGACCCTTTTGGACTGTTCAAAGCCTACCAATAGGAATACTTGTCTCTGTTCACGACATCTTAACATGGAGTTATTATTACAAAGTTTGCATAGGGCTTGCGTAGTAAATATAAGAACTTGTGAGGCATTACTATCAAAACTGTGTTGTGACTCGCGGAATTTAGACTGTCTGAGTAGAACTTGTAATACTTGTTCCTTAAATCGTCTTGAATATTTAAATCTTTCCGATAATAATATATCATATTACGAATGGCGAAAAACAGTCAAAGAAATTACTCTTAAAAATGGAACTAAGAAAAAACAACTGCTTACTGAAAAAATAAGGACTACAATTAGTGCCACAGCAGCCGTAACTTAAATTGAAACAGATGTAATAGCATTCTTGAAACATGTTCACAAATTAATTTCCAATATAACAGCGTTAAAATTCTAAAAACAACCTGTCGGTTCAAGAAGCATGTCTACATGTTGATTTTTCAGAAAATTATGGTCTAAAATTTGTCCAGGTATTCCATTTCGGTGGTAGCTGCCAACAAATGTCTTTACAATTAATCAATCTTAATGTTATGTAATAAAACCGCTTTTTGTTTGCGGAGGCTCCCGAGACGCGAAGACGCGAAGCTTACGATCTAAGTGTGAGTGAGTATATTCCTTTTCATTTACGATCAACCTTAATATTATGTGATAAAACACCTTTCTGTTAGTAATTAGGTAAGCTAAGCATCCGATGCCTAATGTGTTAAATGTAAATAAGGTATATAATCTAGCTTCTAGCTGCGGCCGTTTACTTTGTCATGTTTTTGAATAATAAACAGTTGTTTCGCCGTCTTGTTTTCAGTTGCTTTAAAAACTTAGCTGCTAATAACATACATATAATAATATGTTACACACTGCCACATCGTGCAACCTGCAAGCTAGCGATTACCCGAAATTACGAAACAAACTATGAACTAGTCACGAGGCGCTGACGCTGCGGAACGTGCATCATCGGACACCGGGCGATGCGGCGACGACCTACAAAGCGACACTTTTTGTTACACCATCGAACAATAGTCACATACTTAGTTGTGATATTTTAATTATTATAATTAATAGTCTAAAATAAAAATTGATTTTTTTGCATCCCCCGGTTGCCGCTTACGTATTTAATATGTAAGTAGATTTTTATAGTATTGGGGTGTTGGGATTAATTTACTGAGTGTTTTCGCTAATACAAACGCTATTACGGTAAAGGTGTTGCTTTAAATATTATCAGTAAATAAACTTCAAGTACTTAAATTTCATGGTGAAGTAAAAGTGTATATCCATTCTCATCGCTGTTGATATATATATTTTGATTTGTCTTTCAATAATGGCTCCAAAAAGAAGTTTAGCATGGGACTATTTTGACGATAAAGGTAATTATAAAGCTCAATGTAAAATATGTAAGACGGAGATATCATTTGAGGCTTCAGTTTCAAATTTAATGAAACACATAAAAAGAAAGCACGTAACTATACAATTAGTACCTAGACAAGACCGAAATATAGCCTCATCCACTATAGCGCCGTCGGCAGCGGTGCAGCAGCAGCAAAATCAGATTATGCCTCAAACCACTGCCACAGCGTCAACCTCTCAGCAGATTCCACCAATGCTTATACCAAACGCTACTAGAAATACAATGACGAATTACATGCGTAGTGACTGCTCAAAAATTAAAAAAGATATAGATCAATGTATTTTAAACTTAATTATTTACGATCTCCAACCATTTTCAATAGTCGAGGATAGAGGTTTTAGATAGCTTGTATAATTTGCATTTCCCATTATACTCTTCCATCCCGAAAATATTTTGCAAACAATATGCTTCCTATGGTTTACGAAGCGATGAAAAACGAAATAAAAAATTTATTACAGACTCAGATGGAATCGATATGTCTCTCAACGGATATGTTCACGTCTCGTAATGGTGACTGGTTTTTGGCTGTGACCGGTCGTTTTATAGATAGCAATATGCTATTAAGATATATTTTGTCAGAATTTTCGGCGTTACATGGCACATCACATACACCCACTGCTCTAGCTGAAGAGCTAAAGAGGATAGTACAAAAGTGGAATATTGAAGGTAAAATTCTACTCGCTGTGTCGGACAATGGAGCTAACATAAAATGTGCCATAGAAAAGTATTTGGGATGGAAACATTTCAATTGTTATTTAAACCTAGTAGTATATAAGGCATTAGAACATGAGAAAATTACAAATATAATAGACAACGCTAAAGCAATTGTTGCGTATTTAAAAAAAAGTAATGTGGCCTGGGAAAAATTAAAGCGCTACTTAGAACAAGCTGGAAAACCTATCAAACGGCCTCTTCAAGAAGTTCCAACAAGATTTAATTCAAAATATTACATGCTTGAGCGACTGTTGGAATTAAAGGATGAAATAAATAGTGCTCTTTCTAATTTAAATGCCAGCGTTCCAATATTATCTGCTCATGACTGGGATATAATTCAAAAACTGCTGCTAGTTTTATAGCCTTGTGAAGAAGTAACCATAAGCGACGAAAAATATGTTACTGATAGCTCCGTCATTCCAATTACAATTGCATTAAAAAGTGCACTGGCTGAAATTGCTTCACAAGGTGTTCAGTTGCCCGATGAAGTTGAGATGGTGAGGCAGGACTTATTTGGAGGGCTGGTATTACTATTCGATTCTTTAGAAAACAGCCGCACTTTTACTACGTGTATGTTCCTGGACCCAAGATACAAATTATATTTTGAAAATGATTCAACTGCGGAATCAACAAAAAGATACATAATATTACAGATAACGGAAATGATTTCCAGACAAAATAATGAACCTGTTTTAGAAAACGATAACAATCAATAAAATAAATCTATTTTGGATCATTATTATAAAAAAATGAAAAAAATCAGGCCTAGCGGGACGGCACATTCTAGAGCAGTTGTTTAAGTGCAACGATATATAGATGATAATATTATAGAAAAAAATCAATCACCGCTCGAGTGGTGGAAATTGAATCAAAATTCCTATCCACATCTATTTATTTTAGCACGAAAAATGCTAAATGCCCTGGCTACAAGCGTACCCTGTGAAAGATTATTTTCCGTGGCAGGCAGTATCGTCAATTAGAGAAGAACTCGTCTTGGCGTGCGCATAGTACAGCAATTATTGTTTTTGCAGCAAAATTTAAAGAAATAGTATATTTATATCACAGATGTTGCCGACAGCCTTACCATGTTTTTGAAATATTATTACTGGCCTCTTTAATGAGGCTTTTATACTTGTTTTTAATTTTTATTTTTTTTTTTTTTTTGACTTTGTCAATGTATTCTCAATATATCTTGCCTTTGTTCGTTGATCAATAAATGTTTCTCTGTGTTAAAAGGTATATTTTTAAACGATCTACAGTCCTCTGTTCTTGCTGTCGATTACAACAGATATAAAACTTCTTTAAATTTTGCTTTTCCTTTATAATTATTTCTTCTTTAAAATATATCTGTTCTATCTTTTACATGTTGTACTCATTCCCCGATATTACTATTAATGATATTTATTTATTCTTCTCCATACGTGGCTTGGAAGATATTGTTATGTAGCAATAAGGTTGCCATTTTGTATACTGTTTTTTCTCATGCTGTGTAATTTGCCATTTGTCCTGTGTTGCACGCAAAGTATAATATTATTATGATTATAATTTAAATTGTTTAAGAAATAAATAAAATAAATATTATTATACTAAAAGTAAAATTTTGATAAAGATTGTAAAATTTATTAATTTGTGTCACACGAGGACAAACGCATTGCGTTTGATAATAGATAAATTCATCGAGTTCAGTAGGCGCTGTTTCGCTTGCACTATCTTGCAGGCGCGTCACTGCGCAGTCGCGAAACCGCGGCGGCGTCGCGGCCCGAGCATGCGCATTATAACCCGACACACAAAAAAAGTCGCGTTCAAAGTTAAAGGAACTGAAATTTTTTAAATGTGCAATTTTCGTTAGGATTTGACTTGGTTATAACACCTTTCCATAAATTTACTCAAAAAGTTTTCAAATAAAGTATTTGAATTTGAAAATATGCTCACTACCTGGACGGCTGATAATCAAACGAATAAATGGAGCGAAGTAGTGAAATTCGTACAATTTATGAAGAATTCTGCTTTTTCATTCCGACATCAAATCATTATCAAACGTAACTTCATCCATTTGAAGTTACGTTTGATACTGCAATAGTTGGATTAGCTTCATCTATTATACCATAGGAAATATTTCACACGCTACATAAAGACGAGCATCTTGAGAAATTAAACGACGCAGACAAAGATGTGTCCGAATATGTACCTTTGCAGTCTTCACTATTTCAAACTAATGAGTACTATGAAAGGGTCAGTTCAGGATCAGCAAAACGAAATCACCTGAAACCTTTACAAATTAAAAAGAGCCATTCACGAGCCAGTCACGATCGACTGATCATCAAGTTATCAAAAACTTTCAAGAAACACATATGGACAAAAAATCTTCACTCACAACTTACTAGAGACAATAGTAATGATACTGTAATTCCAGATCCACTTATATCAGGTCAATTACCTTTAGAAAACCAAAAATTAGCTGTATGAAGAGTACATTAATTAGTATGTTTGTTTGCTCCAAAGTGACATCGGGTGCTCATACCTGCATTGAATGTAATTTGATTGTTCATGCAATGGTGTGGTGATACGGAGTCTGAAGAATATTATGACAAAAAGATTTTGTGTAAAATTTGTAAAAACAATGTCAACCATAAAACACAACGTGAAAAGGCCAAGGAAGGTTTCGAATGCTAATCATTCTATAGCCGAAGGAGGAACTACAGCTAGAATAAAAATACCCGAAGTTGACAGATCAAAAACTGATGCCTGTTCAGTTTTAGCCGTAGTCCTTCAAAGATCTGATGATGGGCCCAGCTTGGGCACTAAAAGTAAAATTTTGAGGCAATTATATGCAAGATCTCAATTTTGTTTTTGTCAAGAAAGGTTGATAGCAAATTCTTATGTATTCTGAGTAGGTACTATGGCGGACATTTGCGCTCTTCCACTTCTCATCATTCAACATGTCTCTTGCAGTGTTTAATACGCCCCGCCCACACACGCATTACCACCAATAACAATCCACTGTCCGTGAGAGCCGTGTGCAAGGAGGCGTACTTGAATGAATACTTTTTGTTTGTTTGTTTTTAGTTGTAATTTGCATTTCGCTCACGTCACCGCGTCTAATTGTGATATTATACTGTAAATCTTTCGACTGTTTATGCTACCACTCCGATTCTTGCTTCTACGAAAGCTCGGCTTTGTTTATTTGACTTTATTTGACTTTTGTGTGTGTGTGTACTATTGTGTAATTAAAAAATAATGGCGCACAATTTAACAATAGAAGTGAGGACTCAAACTTTAGTTTTAAGTAGTCGTGGAAGAAATATTTTGCAGGTTTCGAGAGAATTACATTTTTCGGCAAGTTATTAAAATATTGTTTTATATATATTTTATATTATTGAGATTATGTTAATAGAAAAAAAAAGTTATAATATCTGTAATTTATAGATATCGAAATTACATTATTGTACAGATATTAGCGCCACCAGTTCCCAAATAATAACATTTGTTTGTTTGAGTCTATTGTTACTTTTTCATAGACAATTTTTGTATTAGTAATTCGTCTGTTTTTATGGTAATAAAGAATTTGGAAGTTTTCATCTCAATAAATATGGCCTCGTGTTTAAATTAAATTGTTTTGTTCCTGTTATTAACAATATTATCATTAACTTTAGTAAGATTATCTTTCAATCAACATAAACCAGTTGTATTTATTCTCATATATTTTAATATATAGAGGAAAAGGTGGTAATGTGACCCCTGCAGGTATATTGCCCCCCTTCAATATTAATATGTTGGAATACCGCCATCTAATATAATTTGGGTGCAACGGGATCAATCTTACTGTAACACTAGTAACATCAAATAAACGAATAAATCTAAACTGTGAATTTTCTTAAGATACTTCGCATATACTTACAATTTCAACTTACAACTAACTTCAACTACTACTTAAATAATTTAAATTTATGGTGTACTGTGTTAGCGTGGTCAACTAAGCGCTGCGTCGTACATCAAATGGTCCTTCGAGAAGAAAAAAGTGGTAAGTGCTAATTTGTTTTCATTTGCGATAGCGAATCGATTTGATTGGCCTCCCACAAGCGGGTCTCACCAATTAAATTGAGAAGGCGCAAATATCGTACTTGGATTATATATCACTTATTCACAAGAAAACTAGCGACCAATTTCAAGAAAACATTATTTTGGAAGAAGATAAAATATAAAAACTGTTATAACTCTAGCAGACGAGCAACTTTTCACTTCAACTTACTAGTAACTAACTGAATACTAAACTACTACAAAATGGACATCAATCAACAAATGCAATCTTTTGAATCGATAAAGCAACTTTGTGCGAATTATAAAAAAGATAGAGCTTCCCGAAAGACAGTGGATTACCTGACAAAGCGTCTGATGGCACTGGAAAATATTTGGGAAGAATTTCACAATCGGCATCAGAGTTTTAAGAAGGAAGAAATTGAAGATCTGCAATACTATACGGATCATATTTATGAGAAAACTAAAGAGATGTATAAATCAACGCGTACTGATATATTGCAACGCCTGCTGTCATCGCAAGAAAAAAACCGGAGCTGACTATTGAACGTGGCCCAGAGAAGGAAAATAAGACTATAGAACTGCTAGACCGTCAAGAGAGCAACCCATTTAGTACCCAATAAATCCGTCAGAGGCTGTCATGTTCATTTGGCATTCGATTCAATCGAAACGCGTACCGGTCTAACTTAATATCGACTGTGGAATAAAATTTATAATTCGCGAAAAATAGTGAGTTTTTGCTTTTTCTTCCGGACATTTTGTTTAACTGTCTTCTACGGGATTTGAAAGGTTATTTTGAAATCTTTTGTTTCGATAAATATACTCAATATTTGTAACTTGCCCCCCTCTCGTTGGTTATATTTTGGTCTCGGGGGCCACATTACATGAAAGCGATAAAAAAAAAATTGACGTTTTAGATGCCTAGACAAAGTGTGTTATCTCCATCTTCGAGGAAGAAACAAAAAACGTGGGACCCTGAACAAATGAAAAAAGCAATTGGTGATGCGAAAGATCGTGGGATATAAAAATGAAGTTGTCGGGAGAGACTAACTGGGAACCCAGCAATTAAAGGATAATATTATTGTGAGCCAGGAACCGTCTACATCAGTTGTTTCTCAAGAGTTTACTGTTGGCATGGAGTTGTCATTATTGACAATGGTTTGGTCATCGCTGTTGTTATAATTGTAAAGGCTATAAAATATTTCAATGAATATATTGTTGGAAGAGTTGGATCGCCGGGCTGCATACTATAAATTCGACGTCTAGCGCATGAAGATTAGTGGAAATTTATTATTAACGTATCGAAAGTTTATCACATTTATTGGTG